CGCAAAAAACAGTGGGATGGTGTGATTGTTCATGTCAAAGAGGTGTGGGAAACTATTGTACAGGCTCCAAACATTACAGCGGAAGACGTTGACTCTGATGTTGAAGAGATTGAAGGATTGCTTGACGTCAATGAACTCCTTGGTGGTATTGATCCTTATGAAATGGTCAATCCAAATGAAGATCTGGTTTGATTTCAATTGTATCATCTTGATTAAGTGTTTCGTTTCAAGGGTTTCATGAGTGTAGTTGATCGTGTTGTATGTTGTTTCATCGTTCATAACTCGGTCCTTTTGATTCGATTGAAAAGTTCGGTAATGAGTTGTGTAAAGATATTCATTTGTTGAACATCAAAGATTTGTTTGTTGAGTGCTTTGTTGACATTGGTTTTGGCTTGATAGCCGCGTTGAGGATTGTTGGATTATAAGTACATTGAGACCGTTTGTTGTTGATACCATTCCAGAAGACAATGTGAGCAGTGAATGGGTTCGACTCGTTGGTTGAAACTGGTTCATTCAGTTCGTTTGTGTTGGAGTTGAAAGGATCAATGAAAGTTCATTTGACTTGTGATATGTTGGACTGGTGAGAAGTCGCTCAGACTGATCTGAGTAAAATTACAATCTGGGAGCAAGATTGGTCTGGGGCTTGGAGCATTCTGTGGACTGATCTGAGATCACTCAGATCAATCTGAGCACGTTCATCAGATCAATCTGAGAGCGCGCAGATTGATCTGAGATCACTCAGATTGATCTGAGAGTGCGCAGATTGATCTGAGAGTCCTCAGACTGATCTGAGTGATCTGACCTCTGTGCTCTTTGTGAATTCAACTTTTGATATAAGTCAAAAGTTGATAAAAATGGTGCTATGGACACTTCTGATACACAAATTTTTTTTGGGAACTTGTAGTTGACTTTGTGAGTGTGGAAAAGGTGGGATAGTTTTGATCTAGATGATCTAGCGTGATCTAGCACAGAGGTTTGAGTCCGGGTCTGATGAAAGTGCGCACCGTTTCATAGAGTGCGTGCTCGAAAGTTTAAGGCGCCACAGGTGGGCGTCTGACGTAAAACCCGACATTACGCTGGTCGCCAAAAGTTTTTTTTGGCAAAACCTGACATTTTTGGTCAGATACCTCCAAGCAACGGGCCCGGAGGAAAGCCTTGATACCCGGTTAAAAGCCTCGAAACCCGGGTAAAAGCCCCGGTATCCGCAAAAAAGCTCCGGTCATTCGAAAAAACCCACACTGCTGTGGGTTGAAACCCGATAAATGTCACAAAAGGACCAATTTCCCAACATTTTTGGTCAGATACATATGCGTGGTAAACCTCCCAAAACCCAAAACCTGACATTTTTGGACAGATAAATTTGAGCTCAAACAGGCCAAAACCTGACATTTTTGGTCAGACGCCTTAGTAAAAGCATTCCAGGGTCCTATTAGCACAGCAAGAATTATAGCAGGGATAGTACATAATACACCTATAGCTCAATCCTGTATTTGGCTACAGTTCCATGAATACCAAGTTTTTATTTGCACACCTACTGATCCGTCACCTTAAGCTTGGGTCCATTTATGATGTCATAGCATACAACAATGACATAACACAATTTCTTCAGCACATGGGCACTGTCAACATCCACCAGTGACCAAATGGTGGTGTGATACTTGTTGTCTGGGATGCCACTACATGAGAATTCAAGTTTTACTCTCAGTATTAGTGTGCATATATGGAGAAAAACATGCACCAGAGAGTTGTTCTTCTGAAGAATGGGTGCTGCATAACTTGTGTTCCACATGAAAATATCCCCTGCCCTCAACCTAACCGCCTTAACAATCTTAAACTGCTACCCATCTTCACATTAGAGTATAACAATTTCGAGCTTGTGCCATATTCTTATTGGGTTTTTGAGTTTCTCTGAAGTTGTATCATTATCCTATTTCATGGTTTGATAGTTGTAGTAAAACATATTTGGAATCATTTATCATTGATTCAAGGCTCATATGAAAGACACACAGGAGTATAATCATCAGCTACACAATTCCAACAGTATGTGCACCCACAGAGAGTCTCCAAAAAAATATGGAAGAACATGTCTCAAGCTCATACTTGTGGATCACCTTTATGCACACAACCTTTGTTGGAACTCAATTGCCTGAGTTTCAAAAACCCACTCAATAAAGTCAAAGGCCTGGGACCTCTTTTGAGGTTCTTGCAAGTTTCTATCAAAAGTCTTTTGTGTGTGCAAGTCAACGTGTCACATGAATACAGACATGGTGATGACTGCTAAACCAAAGTTGATTTTGTTCAGTCAAACCAGATGAGCAGTAAATGATATGATACCAAATACAACAGTTGCTTATAACAGATTGCCACTTCAGTTCCTATTACACAATAAACTCTGCCAACATGTGATGCAACCAGTTGAAGGAGTAATTGATTAGTGCATGTGGAGTAAACTTTGTTTTTGGTCATCAAGTGGTGATCAATCAGGAAGAGAGGTGATAGTTGTAATAATTGGACCTTTGATTCAATATCATCCTCTTTGAATAACAAATTTTGATCAAAATGTTTTCCTTTGAAGTTACTCAATCTGGCTTCCCAGCAGTTCACCAATTCTTGATTGCTTTTTATGCTGGTATTAGCACCTTATGCTGTGGACTCGGCTTGTTTTGATTGTGTTAGATTTAGTTACTGGCTCAAAACTTTTGCAATTTATCCTAAAGGTTCTTTTCCCTCTCTTCAAGACCTTTATCCTTTTTCACATTCAACTCATTAGAAATGATCATTTGACAGGCATGGTCTGTCTTGTTCTCAATCTAATTCAAAATTGAGCAAAAAAAAAGTGACATATTGAAACATCAGGTAATTAGTAAGCTGAGAAATGAGGAGTTCATGATCTGATCAAAGGAGTGAGATCAAATGGAAGCAAGTTTTCCAAATCAACACTAAGTGATAAAGTGATGAGATAAAAATGTGAATTCCCTTTTTGCACTCCATGAGCAGGTGTAGCATTGGAATTCTTGGCCAAAGTGGATCCATCATTCCCCAGTGTCTTCATCAAATTTGAAAAGTTTGGCTCAACTGTAGTTCAAAATCAGAAATTCAAAATGCTAATAAGCCCATATAAAGTCTATCACAAAGAGAGAAAAGAGAAAGACTGACGGTTTCAGAAAGACTTTTTCTTCTTCTTCATGGGTTTTGGTCTCAGTATATATATTGAAAACAAAAAGAGGCTATCAAAGGTAGATTGAAAATTGGAGTTATGATTTCTATTGGTTTTAAATCAAATTGAGAGATAGAACAATTAAAAACTTTAAATTAACCCTATTGAAGGGCAGCAATTGCCAGGACAGGTTAAATAACTCAACATGGTTGGATAAGCATTGCACAAGTCAGTCTAGCCCAAGAGATCAATGGCTTGAGTGGATCTTGATGTTAAATAAATAGTTTGGCATGAGGAACTGTCTGCATTCCACAATGGTGCAATCGACCATCAACCTGAGAGGAGTAGTAACATGCAGATACCAAGACTGGTAGAGCTAGAGTAAAGGTAAAACAATTGAATGAGTCCCAGGATCAAGTCCAGGTTAGTCAAAAGAGATGAAAGTGCTTGACCAGAGATATAGAGGTGAATCTCTTTGAATAACCTTGTAGTCATTTTCACTCAAGACTGCTTCAAAGATGGTACTGTTCATGACAGGGATAGCAGTAAAGAACTTGAGAGGATTGATATAAGATAAATGGTTCTTCTTCAAATGATGTCCATCTACACCATAATTACCAAGAAAATTACCAGTCCAAGCTTTGTGGATCTTAATAATCATACCATACTTAGGAGAATCTGACACAGCAGATTGAGCAGAGAGACTGAGTTGAGATGGATTGCAGTGTGCAGTTGGAGGTTGAAGACATGCAGAGACAGAACAATCAAGAACTTATATAACTCAACTTCAACCAAGGGTTCAAAGTGTAATTTAGGTTCTTGTTTACTGTCCTGATTCAGAGAAAAGCAATCAAAA